AGCCTGTGCTGTTTGGGGATGTTTCTAGTCCACCCCCAACTCCATTCACTTCAGCGCCTCCGTTCATCCGCCCGCTCCCCGCGTGCTCACGCCACAAGCTGAGTCCCAGGCCCCGGCGCTCCCCCTCCCCCACCAACCCGGGCGCCCACCTCCATCCCCAGGGCCACTCCTCACTCTCCCCGAGCGATAGGGGACTTCTGAGGGTGATTGTTAGAGGCAGGAGACAGGAGGCATCTCTGTAGCGTCTTGCCGCCTCCCTGGATCGCCTCCCCCGTCCCCGTGACTAGGAGACGCTGGAGCCGGCTGCGAATCGGACCAGTCCCGTGTCACTAACTCCTCTGTCGCCCTCACTGTCCTGCCCGAGGCCAAGGCGGCCCCTAGTGCTGAAGGACAGCTCCCAGCTCAGCTGAGGAACAGGAGTGAGCTTGGAGAGCGTCCTGGGGGGGGCCAAGGCAGTGGGCTAGGATGGGTAGTAGTGGTAGGGCGTTTTTGCCCTTAGGAAGATTTCCAGCTGCCTCCCCCAACCCCCGTGCTAGCTTCCTAGCTCCCCCTACAGGCTGCTGAGAATAGCTGAGCGAGTTAGAGAAGCTGCTGCCGCCACGATGGAACCATGTGCTTGGGGCCCTCACAGAGTCACATGGCACTAGGAACTCGGACGTACAAATGTCCTGCCACCACCACTAACCTTGTTTGGACTCCACCAGATCTAAGACTGGTCCTATGGTCTACTTCCTTTCGTCACTCCCTCCCACTTCCAGTAACTCTCACTTTCTGATTTTTAATCAACCATTGCCAGCAAAAATTTGTTAATATTAAGAATAATAACAATAAAGAGAATAAATAGCCTTTATAGAGTGTATACTGTGTGCTAGGTCCTGCTCTAAGCATTTTATATGCATTACTCGTCTAATCTTCACAACAATCTTATGAGATAGCACTACTGTTATCTTCATTTACATAGGAGGAAGCTGAGGTTTAGTGTGGTGAAGTTGCCTAAAGCAACCAGTGCAGCCGAGATAGAAACCCAGGCAGTCTGGCTCTAGAGCTCTTTTAACACTCCAGTAAAGCCCTGGAAAGAGGAAGGGGTGGAACACACAGTCCTGCCTTAAAGGAAATTATAGTCTATATGAGGAAACATGACATACATTACCTAGTGAAAGGATTCATGGATTGGAGACTTGGGTTCAGGTAATAGTTCCACCACTGAACATGTTGTGTGCCCTTGAAAGAGTCAGTTCCCTTCCTGAGTTTTGGTATTCCCCTAAGTAACTTGACGGGATGCCAAAGGTTAGATGAGATGAGTGGAAATTGTTAGTGCTACTCAGAGGTGGGCTGGGGTGGGTGCATGAAAGGTTTCTGGAAAAGGGAGAATTGGAGCTGGCTCCTAAAGAAGTAGCAGGACTTGAGTGGGTGGGAGGGAAGGGCATTCCAGGTAAGAGGAATGCAGGTGAAATGTTTCAGGGATGGGGAGCAGCCTTATATGTTTGTGAAGCCATAAGTGTGACAGTTTAGCTATCCTGATGATGAGAGTTTGTGGAGAAGAGAGTAGAGGGAGATGAGACAAAGGACAAAACTTTCAGTCATTTGAGAGGCCTATTCATTCACTATGTTCCAAGCACTATGCTGGGGGCTAGGCAGGATACTGATGTGGATCGGACATAGCCCGCCTTTGAGATGCTGACAGTTGAATTATGGAGGCAGATATATTAAAGAAGGAATTGCAATCTAGTGCAGTAACAATGATATTGAGGAGAAGTCTCCTTCCCACAGAGGGAGGGACCAGTCAACTCTGCCAGCTTCCCTCAGAGATGATTCTGTACACAGCCAGTTGAGTTGGGGCATTCATTCATTCATTTATTTGTCAAACATCCATTGAGGATCTATTATGTTCCATATGCTGTACTGGGCATCAGCAATATAGACATGAGTAAAATATGTCTTGGGCTGAGGGAGTTTAGTTGAAGTCATCGGGGATGATTAGGAACTGGCTAGACAGATAGCAGAGAAGGTGGTACATGAAGGCTGTCCCAGGTAGAGGGAATGTCATGTGTAGAGGCCCAGAAGCAAGGCCAGGAATGGCATGTTCAGAAACCTGCAAAGTAGTTCATCATGACTAGGTGTGAAAAGGGAGCACTGCCAAAAGAGGCTGAGGATTTGGCAGGAGCCAAATCATGAAGGGACCTGGGTGCCATACTAAGTAGTTTGGACTTTATCCCAAGGGTACTGTACTGAGAGCCATGCAAGAGGATGAAAGGTTTTCAGCAGGAGGTGACACGATCAGATTTGTGTTTTTAGAAGATTGATTTGGCTGCTGCATGGAGACTAGATTGGAGGGGGTGAGGCAGGCAGACTGGTTAGGAGACTGGCTAGTAGTGCAGGTGAGAGGTGTTGAGGGCTGTACAAAGGCAGCAACAGTGGAGATGGAGAGAAGCCAAGCCAGTGGTGGGCGGAAGGGGAGGGGCAAGGGAATGAAAGAGGTAAAATTGAAAGGACTTAAGACTGGCCTAGATGTAAGGAATAGAGACAAGGCCTGAAGAAGGAGGGTGAAACCAAAGGATTCCAGTTAGCGACACTGGCACGAATGAATGCCTCTGCCCACCTAGGAACTGTCTTTCCTGAGCCATTCTTTGTTTAGTCCTTGGAGGGTTCAGTGCTCTGTTTAACAAAGGCTAAAGGCTTACAGATACCTAGTTCAGAGCTGATTGGCAGGGCCATAGTGATTGACATCCTTGATTGCCAATGAAAGAGCAGCCTGCCAGGCCTAGGCTATCAGCTCTGAGCACCTCTGGAGCTCTCTGTGAGAAGTCACTCAGGCAAGACTCCCTCCCTCTCCCCCAGCACACACAGGGCAAAAACTGTCTCACAAAGATCCATTTATTGCAGGAGCACAATATAACAATAATTTACCCACACAGTACCCACTACACACAAAGGAGAAGTGGTAGCACACCAGCAGTCAGAGGCTCTAATTCTCTCACTCTAGATGACACAAGAAATTGGGATGGGGGAAGGGAGGGTATTGGCCTCTGATCAGCCCCTGGAACAGAATAGCCAAGGTGGGGAGGAGGACTGAAGTGGCTCACTGCTCCTGAGAGCTGGTGGGCCTTGGCTAACCCTTCTTCCCAGCCCTTCCTCTCCCTGTCCCCCATACCCCATCAGCAGAGGCTAAAGCCAGAGGATAAAGGTGGGTTACTCCTGAGGGAACCCGGACTGCTCTGGAAGGGCCATAGCATGCTCTGAAACCATTCAAGGGGGAAGAAAACTGGGAGTAGAGGGAAGAGCAGAAGGTTCTCCACAGTGAAATGCTGACAATTAGGAAGAAGACAAAGTGGGAGACGTTTAAAGAGACTAATGTGGTTATACAGGGAGCTTTCTGTTAAGCTCAGATCTTAAAAGGTCATGGGCAAAAGATGTAAAGAAGAGTGCATAACTGATGGTGAATCTAAGAATCTGTAAGAAGAGTGTCAGGATGGCTGAAGCATGCCTTGAGCTGAAGCTTGTCAGGCTCTACCTAGATCCCACCCTCTTCTCCCTCCTCCCTACATAGTTGGAGTAATTTTCCTCTTACCTGCAGGCTATGCCTGTCCTAAGACAGGAAAGATTGAAATAACCCCCACCTGCACACTGGAATCAGGTCATCCCTTTGTCACTGGTCTGAGTCTGGTCTCAAGTCTCTACTGAGCCTCTACCTCATTCCCCACTTCTGATCCCTGGCCTTCTGTTTCAGGACTTGTACCTGAGTCTCCCAGTCAGAGATGCAAATTGACCAC